ATACCGCAAATGGGATTCAACGAGAGCAAAGTATGCACTTTTTGTTGTCCCAAGATCTAGCTTACTCGATATTACTCTGATTGCATAACATCCTGATGACACCTTTAAATGGGTCACTCTCGGCTGGGACACCCTGTATTATAACAATATCGTAATGCGTGTTTTGTTGCACGTATGAAGAAAGATGTGGTGTTAACTCTCTCTGACACACTGATTCGCTGCACCGCGTCCTAAGATCGCGCTCACCGGCAATGCCGAGAGCTGAGACGCGGCAATTCAATTTTCTTCGGTTTTTAAAAAATAATACAGCCCAAACTAAACGTCGTATGGAAAAAAAGTTTTAGTAAAAAAGTTTCTTTACTCCATTGGCAACATTTTTCTCCCTTACACTTGGTATCTATCTCTAAAGATAAAAAAGTTTTCTCGACTCACCATTTAACGCTGCAAAATGACGATATTTTGTGTCATCTGGCGAAAAAAAAAATTACGTAGCTTTTATGTGACATTCTATGTTTTTTATTGTTATGAAACTATGTTAGGGAAGTACTGAAAAATATCATATCCAAAATTCATAACAATCGGACATCAATTAACAAAGTTATGCACTAGTTTTCAAAAAAAATTATTCCAATGGAAATTTTCAGTCTTTTCAAAAATGTCATATTTTGACACATTTCGCAATTCCGGATCAAAGGGCGAACAAGAAATTCGAATCCGGCAGGTCATTTTACATAGGATTTCATGTTTTTTAGGTGGATGTTCGCGACTTGTATAGAGGTGGTCGAATTCAGCACCTCAGATTCCCGACTATACGTCTGGTTGCCTAGCATGGACAAGCAAATTGAGGATTTAGTGAAAAGGTGTGCTGAGTGTCAGGAGTCAAGAAACATGCCTAAAAAATCGCCAGTACACCCTTGGGAATGGGCACGGGGCCCGTGGACTCAAATACATCTTGATTTTGCCGGCCCAATGAACGGAAATATTTTCTTAATTGTGATCGATGCCTTCTCAAAGTGGTTGGAAGTAAGGCTAGTACCTAGTACCTCCAGTGCATCGACGATTACAGTGCTGCGGGAATGTTTTGCCACACATGGCATACCGGATGCCGTTGTTTCGGATTATGGAACAGCGTTTACTTCTGTAGAATTTCAAGAATTCCTTAAAAAAAAAAATAGACAAGCTCTAGTAGCACCTTACCATCCCAGTAGTAATGGTCAGGCAGAAAGGATGGTGCAGAATGTTAAAATTGCAATTAAGAAAATGACTGGTACCAATGTACAACTGGCCCTATCCCGATATTTATTGAGCCGACACATAGTTTAACAGGTAGATCTCCACCAGAAATGCTAATGAGCCGTAGATTATCTACTCTACTTGATAAATTACAACCAGATTTTCGGAGGGAGATGATGACTAAACAAGAAGACAAGCAACGTACAGAACAAGGGAAAAAGACCAGATTTTTCAATGATAATGATCCAGTCTATGTAAGATCATTTGCAGCGGGTCACAAATGGTTGCCATCAATGATTATCGAAACTACAGGTCCGCTGAGCTAGAAGGTCCAAACACCTGAAGGAAAAATCATGCTAAGACATTTTGACCAAATCCGTTCCCGAGTTTCGGACGGGTTGAAATCAGATTTTCCTAGTAATGGCGAGTTCTCAAAAGAATTAACTACACAGACTTTACCATAGATGGAACCAGAAATTTCTGATGTGAGGGTGCCAATTGTTCATACGCTACCGTCCATGAGGATCTGGCGGCCCCCAAAATACCTAGAAGAGTATGCTACGTAAAAAATATCCAGGGGGAGGAGTGTGGTGTATTGTGCCTGTGTTGTTGCGTTTGGCTAGAACTGTGAAAGTGAATAGTTGTTTTAGACATTGATTAGTTACTTTAATTATTGTAGTTTTATATGTTTGGGGCGCCATTGTTGGCCAGGTGGGAAAAGTAATGTCAGTAATGTAACTGACAGTGGAGATGAAATTCGTTATAACTATTGTCAAGGGGTTTAATTGGGAATTCGAGAGTCTAATTCAGTGTTAGTAAAGTAGTTTAAAGTTGAACTGTTGTATCATTACAACCCAGGCTGCAGACCTGTCAAATAGAATCGAAGCTATGATTTTTGAAAGTTTCCAAAAACTCACATCCAGAGGTGGTCTCTTCCTTCAAAAGTGGTGAAATTTATTTGTTTTTTTTTGTTGAGATTTTGTGTTTAATTGATCATTTGGGACCTCGCAAACTCCATACAGTGAATTATTTTGAGATTGGAAGATGAAATCTATAGAAAAAGGACGTCAGGAAAGTTGAGAAATCAAAAAATTCACCACACATTGCTTAACGCGATTTTGACTCTGAAGCTTTAAATTCAAATGAGCTGAATTTTTCAGGGAATGTAGTCCTCTACTGGGATAAGAATCGCTGAAAATTTCAGTTTTCTATCTATAATAGAAAAAAATTATGGGTCTTCAAAGTTTTTAAAATTCCGAATCATAAGGTAACATACCTTAGTACCTAAATACTGAAATGATGAAATTTCAAATTTTTTTATGTCAAGAGAAAAATTGATAAATCACCCCAAATTGCTCAACGCGATTTTATTTTTGGACCTATAACCCGAAATGAGCTGGTCAACCACTTCCCGAAATACGTCTACACTTGGCCCGAATTACCTCCGAAATACTTCGAAGTACCAAGAAATTCCTTGAAGTTTGAAGTACTTTGAAATACCTACCAGGTATTCCCGTCAAAGAGTAAGCTGTGGTCAAAGTACGCGAAATCCCATGGAATTACCATTGATGTACCTACGCGAAATACCCCCAAATTCCCCCGCGAAGTCCCGTAATACTTCTAAAAAAATTCTCGTTGATAACGAGTCACCTTGTGGATTGGGGTGCAGAATTTTTGCTCGGATTTTTGTGTCTTTTCATATCATGGATTTCATTCGGACACACAGGATAGACAATTAAATCAATAGTTATTGATGAAGGGTGACTGTTAGTTCTACAAGGCTGTTAGGTACTAATAACTAACTGACGTCAATATACAGGGTGGAGGGTGGAGCAAGTCTTTTTACTTTTCAAACAATGATAAAAAAAACATAAAATCTGTTTTTTTTTTAAATATAAAAGTCAAACTGACATTATGTTGGCAATACAATGTAAAATTGTCAATGCTTCAAATTTTTTATGTAGAAAAGGCTTGTGTTGCCAACATAGTTACTAAATTTTTGACTTGGGGAATTATCTTTTAAAAAAAAACAGACTTTAAATGTAATTTAGATAAATGGAAAAAAATGTGAATTTTTCACGAAAGTACACAGATAAGGATTTTATTTTTTAAAAATTACATCATCCATAATGTATTGCCTATTTTGACACTGCTGCAACCTGGAGCGGAAATTTTTAATAACGGCTTCGATTGAAATGTCTAAGGACTTATGGTCCACCCTGTATTTAGCCTGTTCGAAGATGGACTAAAATGAAAATTAAATGTTCTCGTCAGTTCATAGAATCGGGCTCCAAATCTCGGAATAGTTTAGTGTATGAAGTTCGGGGGATCCCTAAGGACCATTAGGGCACGAAATCTCAAAAAAAAAATTTATGATTTAGATTTTGGAAAACTTTGAAAGGTCATAACTTTTTTTCTATTATAGATAGAAAGCTGAAATTTTCACTGATTCTTATCTCAATACAGGGACTACAATCTCTGAAAATTTCAGCTCATTTGCACTTATAGTTCCTGAGATAAAATCGTGTTAAGCAATTTGGGGTGAGTTATCAATTTATCAATTTTTCTGAGTGCCTTTTTTCATAGATTTCGGCTTCAAATCTGAGAATAATTTAGTGTATGGAGTTTGGGGGATGTTATTTGACCATTAGGATACAAAATCTCAACAAAAAAAAAATTTGAAATTTCATCGTTTTAGTAAGAAGAAAATTATGATTTAGATTTTGGAAAATTTTGAAAGGTCATAACTTTTTTTCTATTATAGATAGAAAGCTGAAATTTTCACTGAATCTTATCTCAATAAAGGGACTACAATCTCTGAAAATTTCAGCTCATTTGCACTTATAGTTCCTGAGATAAAATCGTGTTAAGCAATTTGGGGTGAGTTATCAATTTATCAATTTTTTTGAGTGCCTTTTTTCATAGATTTCGGCTTCAAATCTGAGAATAATTTAGTGTATAGAGTTTGGGGGATGTTAATTGACCAAAAGGATACAAAATCTCAACAAAAAAGTATTTGAAATTTCATCGTTTTAGTAAGAAGGTAGCTACCGAGTCTGAAGTCGGAATCTATGAAAAAAGGCAGTCAGAAAATTGAAAAATTGATAAAAGTACCTCAAATTGCTTAACGCGATTCTATTTCTGGAACTATAAGTCCACATGAGCTGAAATTTTCAGGGATTGTAGTCCTCTACTGGCATAAAAATCGCTGAAAACCTTACTATGTACTAAAATGATGAAGATTCAAATTTTTAAGATTTTGTGTCTAAATGTTCGTTGGGGACCCCCAACCTTCATATACTAAATTATTCTGAGATTTGAAGCCGAAATTTATGAAAAAAGACACTCAGAAAATTGAAAAATTAATAAATTTACCCCGAATTGCTTAACGCGATTTTATTTCTGAAATTATAAGTCCAAATAAGCTTAAATTTTTAGGATTTTTAATTATGATTTTTCCAAATTTTCAAAAACTCACATCCAAATTTTTATCTCAAAATCCAATAATGATAAAAATTTGAAATTTTTGTAGTTTATAGAAGAAGGTTAGAAGAATCTTTTAGTAAAATTTCAAGACGATCGATTTAAAATTGGAAAAGATCCCATCATTGATTATGAAAAATCGAAAAACCCTAAGCGTTTTTTTAAAAGTTTAGACCTTTTTTGGTCATTAGCCCTGTATAAATCCCATCCCCAATATACGTCAAATCTGGATATGAAAAATGAAAAAAATGTCAAAAAATCCCTATTAAAAAATCTACCCTTACCATATCGTAACCAACTTCATAATGCGTTCCTCTGGTGTACAAAATCGGGATGCAATTTCTTCTGCCTAAAGTTTCTGCGGCTGTAGGCATTTTAACGCACGTTTCACACTGGTGGTTAATTAAGAATAAAAATATTTAGTATTCAAATTAGCACCTGACTAATAAATCAACAAAAAAAAAACAAGACAATGCTTATGATGGACTGACTAGTGACCGGTTTTCCGTCAGTTTGGTCTATTTTTGCTCGATGCCGTACTTTTAAATAAGCGCGCTGGACGACTTGGACTTGAAATAAAATCTCATTAGAAAATAGGAGGCAAATTAATATGTGTAATTTTTGTAGCCGCGCGCAATTCTCCCACTTTCTTGTTCAGTTTTATCTTGCGAAAAAAAAATAACATTGTGAATGTTATCAAGTGTGTACTTGAAAATTAACTTAATACATAGTTACCTATACTAAGCTGTGTCAATTTGAATTATTTTATTATTTTGAGAATTGAATTACCCAAACTTTAAATTTTTCCAAGTCACCAAGAGAAAATATAGGGTCTGCACCTTTTTTAAAAATATATAAAGAATTCCCATATGAATAAATTTCTTAAACACAAATGACTATTCTAAAATAACTGAAGGTTCCTAGAATACTATTGAAAAAGGTGTAGTAAAATTATTTTTATCAAGTTAGATCAGAGCAGATATAAAATAGAAGGATTACGAGAACCAAGCATAAGAACTCTCTACCAGAATCGTATAGACCAAAAACTGAATGACCACTATCTGACAGCTGAAACATCCGAACTATATAAACATGTTACCCAATCTATGCATCCAGCAGCATCTGACATGGAGTGCCAAATTAGAAAAACAGAAGAATATTAAACAAGCATATAATAAATGGTTAGCTACAAAGGATGATGATGATTACAATACATACAAACGACACCTACATGAATTTAAGAATCTAATTCAAACCAACAAGAATGAAACCTGGGAAAAAAAAATGCAAAGAAGTCGAATGTTACATGGGCGGGATAAGATCTTCGGAGGCTTGGAACCTAATTGGTTCTCTAAGGAAGGACACATCTACCAAAACCAACTTACAACCAATACAGATGGGTCAGTGGAAAAAACACTAGAGAAGAGCATTAAAATAGAAGACAGGGAAGAATATTTAATCGATCCAGAAGCGCCTTACATTACGAAGGAGAGTACATTGAAATCGACGAAAGCATGTTAATAAAAGCGTTAAAACACATGAAGAATAATAAGGCACCAGGACCGGAAGGAATACTGGCTGAGCTTCTGAAAAACGGCTCCCAAAAACTTCTTAGTTACCTGAAAGAACTTTTTACCAGATACATAAATGGAGAACAAATCCCAACAAGCTGGAAAGAGGCGTGGGTAACACCCATTCACAAAAAGGGTTATAAAGACGATTGCTCTAATTTATTGTTGATGATGCCTGGTGATACAGCTGTTTTATTGTTTTTATTTGAGTGTTTTCCATCAATTGCCAAAGTTTTTGGACAGGAACCGTGTCATAAGCCTTTGTAAGGTCAACGAAGAGCAGGTAGACATCTCTGTTTGTAGCAGTTTTTTCTCATTGAGCTGCATAAGGCTAAATATATGATCAATACAAGATCGTCCAGCTCGAAATCCCGCTTGTTCCTCTAGTTCATGAGGGCCATATTCTTGTTCTATTATGTCTCTAATTAATCGACCAAAAAGCCTACTCATTGTACTTGTGACCGAGATATATCTATAATTAGAGCAATCGTCTTTATTATCCTTTTTGTGAATGGGTGATATCTACGCCTCTTTCCAGCCTGGTGGGATTTGTTCTCCATTTATGAATTTGGTAAAAAGTTCTTTCAGGTAACTAAGAAGTTTTTGAGAGCCGCTTTTCAGAAGCTTAGCCAGTATTCCTTCCGGTCCTGGTGCCTTATTATTCTTCATGTGTTTTAACGCTTTTATTAACATGCTTCCGTCGTGCTCAATGTACTCTCCTTCGACAATGCAAGGCGCTTCTGGATCGATTAAATATTCTTCCCTGTCTTCTTTTAATGCTCTTTCGTAGTGTTTTTTTTCCACTGACCCATCTGTATTGGCTGTATGTTGGTTTTGGTCAGTGGCGCACCAAGGGGGGGGCCATCGGGCCAGGCCCCCCCCCAGGCCGCCTCTGTAAAACTTTATTTTTACGTAGGTATAAAAAAATGTGGCAATTTCAGGGCGTGGTACCCTGACGCCTCAATTTTTTTTTTTAGATTTTTAGTCACAAGCCACAACCTATGTAGGGCCCCCCTGCCCCCAAACATATTTTTTGGGTGCACCACTATTCCTGGAAAAAAATCAAAAATCAGGCCATAATCTGTATTGTCAAAATATCACTTAGTGTCTCTTGCGGAATAAAAAATCGTAGCTAAACTATCTTTGGTTTTTGTTAAAGGTAAAAGGCTTCTGGATATATAAAAAAATTCTTCATTTCCCAAAGTGTCCCAGATTTCTAGGAAACAGAAACAAAAATCAGGCCATAGACTGTAAGGCAAAAATATCATTCAGTCTTTCTTTTGGATTAAAAAAATTGTAACTCCACTATCTTTGATTGTTTTAGAATACATAAAAAATGTTCCAACATATCAGCATCTGAAGTGAAATGTATGCCACTTCAAAAAAGAATGCTATTACTTATTTGCGAGGAATGCAAAAGATTTGTCGCGCGATTACCTTACATGATGAAAATGTTGGAGGAAATGAAGAATGAAAAATGAAATAGAAACCCTTAAGTCATCCAGCCTCAACACCAAACCACTGGAGAACCCAGAACAATTGGGTGTAGAAAATAATATAACTTATAGTCAAATGGCCCAAAGAACAGCTCTAAAGCCTAACGTAAAGAACATACCAAGCCTAATAATAAAACCAAAGAAACAGCAACATGCTGACAAGACAAAAATTGATATAAAGCACAACATTAGATTAGACACCTTAAACATTGGAGTGAAAAATACTCGTTTCTCAAAGAATGGCAGTGTTATCATTAAATGTGATAATAAGAAAGATATAGAAATTTTAAAAAGTAAAGCAGAAAATACGTTGGTGGATTACGAAGTACAATTAACAAGAATGAAACTGCCCCGCTTTAAAATTGTAGGCTATGAAGGGCAACTTGATGAGAATGAAATTGCCAACACCATACGAAACCAAAATAAATTTATCAACGAACAAGATGAGCTAAAAATAACTTACATCAAGAAACTCAAGCATAAGAAGACTTCAACAATATATGCGGTGAATGTAGCGCCAGTTTGTTCCATAAATTCATCAATTCGACGAAAGTCTTTATTGAATGGGAAAGATGCCCAATATATGAAGATATATCTGTGCCACGATGCTTCAGATGCCAGGAGCATTTTCATAAGGATAGTGATTGCCCAAATAAGATCACATGTGAAATCTGTGCTGACGAACACGACTTCAAGGAATGTCCAAAGATCAGGAAGCAGTGCGTTAATTGTATTAAAGCAAATTCTAAATACAATGTAAATCATAATATTGAACACACAGCAAATGACCCCCTCTGTCCTACGCTTCATTATCTGCTACAGATTCAAAAAAGCAAAATAGATTATGGTGATGGCCTGTGAACAGCAAGAAACTAGTGTACTGATTGAACTGGACCGACTACAAACTGGTATTCAAGAGGAGGCTATTGACTGTAATTTGCTTCATAATAGACTTTGCACAAAGAATCAAGTGTTTAACGTGTTGCATCTGAACATACGCAGCATTCGCAAAAACTTCAATGAATTCTTGGCCTGGTTTCAATCTTACAAACTCAATTTTTGCAACATTATTGTTTTGAGCGAATGTTGGCGTGTAAATGAGAAGTTTGACCTTCCAGGTTATGAAATGTTTTACAATGGTGCTCTCCTAAATAAAAACGATGGGGTAATTGTTTTTATTGAGGCAAATTTAAATGCAAATTTATCAAATACTACGTTAACTAAATCACGCGTAACCATTACAGAGATTGTTATTGAAATAGAAAAGATCAACTTTAAAATTACCTGTCTTTACAGACCTCCATCAACACAACCTCAGTGTTTTCTTGAAGACATTGAGGAGTATTTTCTTTTAAGTGCACCCACACAAATTGACATAATTATAGGTGACATAAATATTAATATCTGTGATCAGGAAGATAACATAGTCAATTCCTATTTAACAATTTTGAGTCACTTTGGATTCATACCGACCCGAACAGGTCCGACTCGAGTAACTCCAAACTCTAGCTCTTGTTTAGATCATATTTTTTTAAGAAGAAACCTAAACCTCAAATCACTGAAATATTCCGCTTTTGTTCTTGACTCAGCCATCACAGATCATTATCCTGTGATGCTCAACATCAGTAGAGAGCATGATAACTCACACATTCCTCATCAACCCAAAGCTCCTGGCCAAATGATTTTTTATACTGATTATCAAATTCTGAATGACCTTCTAGATAATGAAACTTGGTCCGCTATTACAGACGCCAATGATTCAGAAGTTGCATTAGATATCTTCTATGATGTATTTCTTAATATTTTAAATAAATCGAAAATTGAGAAAAAAATTATAACAAAACATAATAAAATTAAACCCTGGATAACGAATGGTATTATAAGTTCAATCAAAAACAGAGATACACACTTTAATGAGATAGACAATCAAAATTATAAAGAATACCGAAATAACCTCAACACAATAATTAGCAAATGTAAACATGATTACTACAAAAAAGAAATAGAAAATAGTGGGAACAACATTAAAAAAATATATAAGCTCATCTCAGAGGCTACCAATGAAGGCAAACCTAATTCCAGTAATAAATTACAGATAAAGGATAATAATATTTCATTCTTGACCGACAAGGACATGGCGAACTATTGTAATGACTATGTCACTAACGTTGGCTTAAAAATGCTCAGTAATATTACGCCCCCAGGAATAGCATCAAAAATTAACTTCAGCTTAAATTCATCAATATTTTTAAAACCAGTGAGTAAGAATGAAATAATAAATCACATAAACTCTTTAAAAAATAATTGCGCTTCTGGTCCAGATGGTATAAGTACCAAAACAATAAAACTGGCTCATCTCCATCTGATAAAACCCTTAATCCATATCATAAATTTGATATTCAGTACAGGCAAGGTCCCTGGAAAGTTTAAGTCCTCGATTATTACCGCAATATATAAAACAGGTGATAAATCGAATATTTCCAATTTTCGGCCAATAAGTGTTATAAATAATTTTTCAAAAATCTTCGAAAAGTGTCTTAACACGTTCACTGTCCTAATGTTATTTTTCCGCTCACCGTTCCACGTCGCCATTTAAATTTCTATGCCCCATATGTGGTTCGTAGGACGTTGTGGTAATTTTGAAGTAGGTACGTTCTACGTCTTACGATCCATATATGGGTCGTAAAATAAAATTTCCATTATGTGGCAACATCTTACAATCAGCACGTGTTCTGTATTTCATCCCGCCAATATTGTTCAGTAGTCTTTCCAGATAACCTTCTGAGCGTGTTTCCCTACCAAATACGACTATGTCCGGACAAAAGCGTAAACTAACCCATAGAGAGTTAGAAGATATCGTGGAAAATTTATCCGAAGTTAGTTCTGTCAGTGATTTCGATTCAGACGATAGCCTGGTAGATCCAAATTACGAATCTGAAGATGACGATTCAAGTTCTAATGGAGAAATGGGCGATGATAGTGATCTTCAAGATGAAAGTGAACAAGAAGACAGTGAATATTCAGACGACGAAATAAATGAGAGTGATCCTGATTACTGTTCATCAACCATTCTACCTTTTTCAAGATTCACATTTAGTGCAGTAGGAGGAGCAAACATTCGAATCACTCAAGATATGGAACCCATAGATATTTTTAGTTTATTTATGACTGACGATATTATTGAGCTAATGGTTGCACAAACTAATATCTATGCTTTGGAACTTCAACGCAAAAAACGTTTAGTACGCTCAGCAAGAATCTCTAGATGGAACGATACAGACAAAGAAGAAATGAAAACTTTTCTTGGTAAGTAATTACAACTTTGATTTTTGCACTGATGATTGAATATGTGTGTTTTTTGTTTTGTATTAGGTATGCTGCTGCTTATGGGACTTATAAACTTTCCTACCATAGAATGTTACTGGAAAATGGACCCATTGTACCACCATGAGCTTTTTCACAGACTTCCTATAAAGTATAACCGCTTTACATTATTGTTAAAATGTTGGCATTTCGAAAACAAAACAAAACCATCAGAAAGTCGCTTGTCAAAAATTTCACTTTTGTTAGACCTTATCAGAAATAACATAAAAAATGTATATTCTCTTGATGATACAGTTGTTGTGGACGAGACTATGGTTCCTTTCAGAGGTCGTCTAAAGTTTCGGCAATATAATCCATCAAAAGCTCACAGATATGGTATTAAAATTTCTAAAGTATGCTCTCCACTTGGATATACTTGGGATCTGAAAATATATTCTGGAACAAATGAAAGACGCCAAGGACTAGACCTTCCTGGTAGTACAGTTGTTGAATTGGTTGAGCCCTTGTTAAATGCTGGCAGATTGGTAATAACAGATAATTATTATACAAGCATTGAACTTGCCAAATACCTCTACGAAAGGAAAACCAATTTGTTAGGCACCGTGAGGAAAAATAGAATAGGTCTACCCAAGGATGTAGTCAACTGCAAACTAAAAAAAGGGCAGATAGTTGGCAAACAAAACAACTTCATCACTTTCTTCAAGTGGCATGATCAACGTGATGTCCATATACTTTCCACGTGTCATGATGAACAAATGAAAGTCTATGGGAAAAAAAGAAACGGAGAAGATAAAATCAAACCATTAGCGATAATTGATTATAATAAGGGAAAGCAGGGGGTAGATATCTCTGATCAACTATCCAGTTACTACACTTGCCTCCGTAAGTCATTGGTATGGTTCAAAAAATTGGCCACTGAAATAATTTGTGGGGCACTTGTTGTCAACACTTTTATTTTGTACAATTCTGTGCGTCCAGCGAAAGAACAAATATCAATGTTGAAAATGAGAGAATCTCTAATTCACAGCCTTCTCAAAACAAATCAAAATGTGAAAAAGCAAAAAACGCATGAGGAAGGAGCTCACAAGCTTGAGGAACTACTTAGAGGTGATGATGCGAAAATATATAGGAAACGATGTCACGGATGCTACACAAAGTTGAGAGAAACTCTTCCATCAAAAGAAGCTTGTAGAAAAACTAAGAAAGTCTCAACTTTGTGCCGTCAATGCAATCAAGCATTTTGTATTCCATGTTTTGCAGAAAATCATTAAATTTCAATATGTTTTCGTTTTGTTTTCTCTGTATAGGCTTATAATAAGAGAATTTTCAATATTTTTTATGCCCATTTTTGATACCCCGTATCTCCGTTATTTTTTGACGTAATATACTTTTTCTTATACCAAAATGTAGCTTTTTTTTTCTTCAGAGTCCCCTTACAGAGAGTAATAATTTACTGATACGTCCCATTTAATTTTAGGCTATAACAAAACATACGTTTACGACCCATATAGGGGTCGTAGGACTTATAGGTAAATGAAGTTACGACCCATATATGGGTCGTAAGACAGTGAACGTGTTAAAAACCGATTGGTCAGCTTCTTTCAATCTAATGATATTTTTTCGAAGAGTCAGTTTGGCTTTAGAAACGGGCTTGGTACTGAACATGCCATATATGAATTAACAACCCAGATAACAACATGCCTCGATAAGAACAGGAAATGTCTCACTGTATTCCTAGACCTTGCAAAGGCATTCGATACGGTACCTCACCTACAGCTCTTGGATGTCCTAAATATCTACGGGGTGAGGGGGACCGTGTTGGATGTCTTTAAAGACTACCTGGCAGACAGACAGCAGGTGGTGAAAATAGGGGACACCCGAAGTAACCCCCAAACCGTTAAGATTGGCATCCCTCAGGGTACCATTCTGGGTCCAGTACTTTTCATTGCGTATATTAATTCCTTAACAAACATGAATATAAAAGATGGATCCATCATATCATATGCTGATGATACAGCCGTTACATTTGTAGGAGACACCTGGGCTCAAGTGAAGGAATCGGCAAAACATGGTATTTCAAGAATAAAAACATGGCTAGACTCTTTCAAACTAACATTAAACGCTAGTAAATCAAACTATATAGCCTTCTCCCTTACATCCTCCAATCGCCCTTCTTTTAAAGAGCTTGACATCAATAACGTAGACTCCCCATTGCTTGAAGTAGACTCTACAAAATATCTTGGAGTTATCATCGATAAACACCTTAAATGGGGACCTCATGTATTGAAGTTAACCTCAAACATAAGAAAGCTTATACATAAATTTTACATCCTCAGAGAAATAATGAACAAAAAATTACTGATTTCAGTTTACAAATTACTTGTCGAGCCCCTAATAAGATATGGTATTGTTGTGTGGGGTGGAATGTATGCGAGC